GGCGACACGCGCGGTGTGCGCGGGGCGCGGGGACGCGCAGCCGGACACGCGGCGCTGGGCGGGGGCTGCGCCCTCCTTCGAGCCTGGCCCGGCCGCCCCCCTGCAGGGGCTCAGTCCCCTGCACGGGTGATGCAGGAGCAGCGGGAACCCCCCGGTTTGTCCCCCCCGGAGCTCCGGTGGCAGCGAGCACCAGCCCCGGGCCAGCGCACGCTCCTGCTTCCCGTCCGGCCAGCCCCACGCCAGCCCACACCGGCTCTCCTACTCCATCACCCCGAGGGACCCAGCAGTGGCCCCGGGGCTGGCAGCGGCAAAGCGGCCTCCCAACAATGCCAGGGCACCGGGCAGTGCCACGGCACCGGGCAGGGGGCTGCAGGGGTCCTCTGCCATGCGTGCCCCTTTGCTGGCTCCTGCAGGGCGGACGGGTGCCCCGGGGCACGTGGCTTCACCCGCCAAGGCGGCTGCCAGCTCCGTCTGCCCCACAGCCCTTGGCAGTGGTGGCGGCAGCTGCGCCGGCCCTGCGGGAGCCTTCGGGGCAAGGGAGGCAGAGGAAGCAGTGAGGAGGAGGAGGAGGAGGAGGAGGGTTGCTCCGGGCCAGGCGAGTGTGAATCAGCAGCTGGTTCCCAAAGCGGGCCCAGGAGTCCTGCTCCACCCCTTCCTGCCTGCGGCCCAGCGCTCTTACTCATCTCCTTCCCAGCCTCGAGAGCGGAGCTGGGAAAGCGCCCGTCTGCCAGGAGAGCCTCCCGGGCTGCCCCGCGGGCCTGGCGGGTGCAGCGCAGGCCCTGGCGTCTGCGAGAGCTTCCCCCATGGCTCTGGCTGGGGCATCTTCCCTGAGATGGGCCCGCTTCTTCCTGCTTGCCTGGGACACTCAGCTTGGCAACCGGCTCTGGCCACGGAGCAGCCCCCAGGCCAGGCGTGGGACTGGTCCCGCACGCCGGCAGCTCCGGTGCAGCCAGCGTGGGGCTGCGTTGTGTGCCCGGAGCCAGGCAGTGCTGCCTGGYGCTCGCCGGCTGCGTCCTGCATGCCCTGCACGTCCCCACGTTTCGCCGGGCGCCATGGCCCCCCTGCCCCGGCCGCCCTTCCCCGAATGAGTAACCCAGGCTGCCCCGCTGGCCGTGATGGCTCCGTGCCCTGGCCCCGTCACGTGCATCCACAGGCCGTTAAGCACCGCGCCGCCCTCGCCAAGCCCCGCCGGCCCTTGGCACTGCGCCCTCCCAATGGGCCCCCCGCGTCGGGGAGGCCGCACGGCGCCACYGCAGCCCCCGCAGCCCCACAGCCGCTCCGGTGGGACCTGCGCCACCAAGGAGGCGGCGGGCACCGTCCTGGCAGTCCCTCTCCCTCAGCTGCACGCGGCGAGTGGCAGAAAGATCCCTGGCCTGGATGCCCTGCAGCTGGCCCAGCTGGGCTGCCTCCCTCCGGGGCTCTGTGTCACCCGGTGCCCTTTCAGGAATAGGGATAAGGAGGAGGAGGAGAAGGAGGGACAAGTGCCCTGTGCTGCCCATGCCCAGGGCCTCTCGTGATCCTCCACCATGAGCCCTCCCCACGCGCCAGGAGAGCTGGCACAGCCCTGCATGCAGCTCGTGGCCTGGCATGGGGATCCCCTAGGGCTGCCAGTCAGACCTCCCCCAGGCAAGAAAGGCGCTCCTGGCCCTTTAAACCCTGATTGGGACCCAGCCTTTAAAATGGGCCAGGGGGCCAGGGCTCCTTTACCTGCTGGATCAGGCTGGYGAGGAGCAGGTGGGCTGAGCACGCTGGTCCTTCCCTCCCCACCCACGCTGCCTCCCTTCTCCTCCCTGGTACTTTCAAGCCCCCCTTAGCCAGGCCCCTGTCCAGTTGGCTTTGCCCCTAGCCCYGAGGCTGGGTTTTAGTCTGGAAATTGCACCTTTTTTTCTTGCAGAGCGAGTTTTTTTGGTGCTTTATTTTTTTTTTTTTTTGCCAAGCTGAAGAGGTTGGCATGGACGCAGTGGTCTGAGAGCACCTGGGGCCCCGCTTTGGCTAGTGCCCCCCGCCCGCTCTGCCTCGCTGCAGAGGAGGGCATGAGCACAGGGATCCCCTAAGCCCCGCTGCCGACCAGCCCTCGCTCGCCCCGCTCGTGCCCACCATGGCCCCCCTCGCCAGCCTGCTCTTCCTCCTCGCCGCGCTGCTCTCGTGTGCGYTGGCGGCGCTGCCGGCCGGGCCGCCGCTGCCGCTGCTGCAGGCGCTGCAGGAGCGGGCGCCGGGCGGCCGCGGCTGGCGCGCGCCGGCGGGCGGGCAGCCGCTGCGCTACATGCTGCAGCTGTACCGGCGCGCCGCCGACCACCACGGGCGGCCCCGCCGCCACCGCCGCCCTGCCACCAACACCGTGCGCCTCGTGCGGGCCAGCGCCCCCGTGGGACACGTGTGGGCAGGTAAGGAGCGGGTGGGTGGCACCGGGTGAGGGTCCTTGGGGAGGGCACAGGTTGCTCTTGGGATCTTCCCCGCCGTGGTGATGTCTAAGCTCCCTGTGCTGGAGGTGGCACCCAGCCCTCGCACCCCTCGCCACCCGTGTGGTCTCCAGTCCTGCTGTGGATGTGGCTCTCACACTGGCATGGAGCTGTGCCAGCACCAGGGATGAGCCCTGTCCTGGGTGCTTCTGCCCATTGCTGTGTTGTTCCTGGGTGCTGCACCAGGCTTTTTCCCAGCTCTGGCACAGCCCTGGGAGGYGTCCCGCATCCTGGTGCTGCCCAGGGCTGTGCCAGGACAGTGCCCGGGCCCTGACTGCCGCTTCCCCGCAGGTCGCTGGTACGTGCAGCCGCTCACGTACCACGTGGAGGGCCGGCGCGCGGGCGAGCGGCTGCTGCGCGCCGTGGTGCTCTACCCGCAGAGCCCGCCCGCGCCCGGCGGCCGCCTCCTCTGCGCCCTGGAGCCCTCCGCCGCCGCCGCCACGCTGACCCCGGGCTCGGCCGCGGCCCACGGGCAGCCCCGCGGCTGGGCCGCGGCCGACGTCACGTCGTACGTGCCAGCGGGCACAGCGGCGCTCCACCTGCGGCACGTGTGCGTCCGCGCTGGCAGCGCCAATGCCACCTCCGCCGTCCCCAGCGAGCCCTTCCTGCTGCTCTACCTGAACGACACGCAGGCCGGCGTGCTGCCCCGTCCGAGCACCACCGCGCCGCTGTCACCGCCGCACCGGCGGGCCCGCGAGGCGCCGGAGCTGCCCGGTGCGCCGCGAGAGCCGGCGGGCGCCAAGGGCGAGTGCTCGCTGCGCTCCTTCCCCGTGAGCTTCGCGCAGCTCGGCTGGGAGCACTGGATCATCGCGCCGCACCGCTACAACCCGCGCTACTGCAAGGGCGCCTGCCCGCGCCTGCTGCGCTACGGCTACCACGCGCCCAACCACGCCGTGGTGCAGAACTTGGTGCACCAGCTGGTGGATGCCAGCGTGCCGCGGCCCTCCTGCGTGCCCTACCGCTACAGCCCCATCAGCGTCCTCATGATCGAGCACAACGGCGGCATCCTCTACAAGGAGTACGAGAACATGATYGCAGAGTCCTGCACGTGCCGGTAATGCCCGCGGCCGCCGACGCTCTGCTGCCCCGTGCGCCCGCTGCCTCCGGACTTTTTAGAGGGCTCCACTTCGGTTTTTCTTCCGGYGGACCGGGCTGTCCCGTGGCCGCCCCCACCGTGTTGGTGCGGCGCTCGTCGGGCGAGTTTTACGGTAGCTTTTTATGTGAATTGTGAGGTTTTTAAAGGCAGGAGCCTGCTGGGCCCCATCGCAGGGCAACTGCCCCGGGGCCCCGTGGGTGCTGCCTGCTACAGGGAGGGCATCGGCCCAGGGTCCCGGCCTGATGCTTTTGGAGAAGAGCTGGGTCCCAGGACCAGAGCGCGAAGCTCTCGGTGCCGCCTGGGCCTCTCCTGCTGGAGCAGGGAGGGAGAGCCCTGAACGTGGGCTGGGCTCTCCYGCATCCCTTCAGCCTGTCCCTGTGAGTGTCCTCAAGCCAGTGCTGGCTGTCCCCAGTGCACGGTCCCTTCCTGCCCCGTTGGCCATGCCGGCGGTGCTCCTTCCTAGCTCACCTGTATCCCAAAGGGTCTAGTCCCGGCTGTGTCCGGACCTCACTGGGCTGGGGATGGGGCTGTTGTCGCAGGGGAGCGGGGTGGAAAACCTGCTGCTCCCCTGTAATTCCCCCTTGGGGGCTGCRGAAACCGGAGGGACCTGGTGAAGGGGTCACCCCAGGTGCTGGGGACCAGGTGGCCGCCCGTGCGGGGCTCAGCCCTCTGCTTTCTCCGCAGTCCCTTCCCCTCTTTGGCTTGCCATGGTGGCAGCGTTCGGGTCTGCCCCTGGCCTGGGGGCTTGGACCCTCGTCACGGTCTCCTCCTGTCTTCTGCCACCCTTGCTGTACCATGTGCCTTGGGCTCTGCTTGGCTCCGGGATTGTCCCCGGCTCTGGATGTGTCCCTTCCACTTCCAGGTCTCCTGCAGCCTGGCTTTCTATTTATTGTTGACTGTGTAAATAAATAAAATGATGGATTTTGCTAAAGACTATCTGGGCCTGTCCTTACTCTATCCTTGGGCTGCTCTGCAGCCAGATGTGGGGCCCAGCAGCTCCGTGGGGATGTCTTTCTGCCCAGTGCCTGCACTGGGTCTCCCTTAGACTGTGGCTGAGGTGCTGACCTGGGCCTGCAGCCACGGGGGTTATTTTGGGAAGGTGTCTGGAAAGCCAACCCGTCTGTTCCCAGGCATGATGCCCGTGTTTGCAAAGCCAGGGCAAAGTCCCCTTTCCCTGAGGGGGGAGAGGTGCAGCCGGGACTGATGGAGGAGCCTGCAGCCAGCCCCACCTCTCGCCATCCTGCCTGCCCGGTGCCTCCAAGGCCTTGGCTTGCAGCTCTTGCTGGGGTCTCTTCTCTTATTTGGCCGCCACCTGATCTCTTGGTGCCTGTTCATGCTCAACAGTGATGCTTCATCCTGCCCTGTCCTGGTCGCCCTCCAGCTCTCCCAGACCCAGGCTCTTCTCTCCATTCTAAGCGGGGTGAAAGTTTGGAGGCCCTTCAGGCTCCTTTTCTGCCTCTCAGAGGCCACCTTGGGCTGCAGAAAGGGAATGTTTTCCTTTTAAACCTCACAGAAGCCTTGGGGGCAAAGAGTCCTCACCTTCCTGGGAAGCTCCTGCGGGTCAATCATTAGACACGTGGTGTTGGCTCATCTGGGTAGGAGGTGGTGAAAGCGTGACAAGCTGGGCGCACTCCTAGCCCTGGACACCTCCCATTCTCCCCCTTGTCCCCATGGTGGCAGCCACAGGAGGGTCCTGAGGGAAAGGGGTGCTCAGCACGGGGTGCCTGCTCAGCACATGGTGGTGCTGCCACCAGCAGTGGTGGGTCCTGCCAGCAGGACCTTGCACCCTCATCTGTGCCACCTGAGGTGCCCAGCAAAAGGGGCTTCATGGAAAGGGTTCCTGTCCCAGGCCGACCCCGGCACCGTGCCAGCCTCGGGAGGGCAGAGCGTGGCAGGGCAGCTCAGGGCACCGCGGCAGCAGCCGCTCCTGCCATGGGACACCTGGTTGGTGGCCTCAGTGGGGAGCGGAGGGTGATGCCCATGCAGGCCATGGCAGAGCTGGGGTGCTGCAGGCACCCAAGGGTGCCCTCACCCAACTCAGCGCCGGCCCTGGGGAGGACACAGGCTGCATGCGGGGGGCAGATCCAAGGCAGTGGCCTGGGGGTGGCCTGCGGGCTGGGACCGCTCAAATATTTGTGCAGGGCCGTGACCGGGGAGGAGCAGCGCCCGGCCAGAGGTGCAGCCGGCCCTGGAGCGGCAGCACCATGACAGCTCCCGGCCTCCTGGTCCCAGGCGGGGGCACCTGCCTGGTGCTGCTCCTCTCCACCCTCCTGCTGCTGACCAGCTCCATCCAGGTGGGTCTGGCGGGGATCCGGGGCCACCTTGGAGCAGCTGGGGTGTCCTTGGGTGGGCAGCAGCATGGCAGGGCCATGGCAGGGAGCATCTCCTGCCGTCTGTGTGGAGCTGGGCGTGGTGGAGCTCGGTATCTCCTCCTCATCCCTGTCTCCATCTCTGAGGTGCGCAGGGAGGGCCGGAGCTCTGGGTGCTCTCCACGGCGGACATGGAGCCGGCAGCGGGGCACCCTGCCAGCCGAGTCGCCCGCATGACACCCTTTTGGAGAATGGTGGGCAACAAGCCCCCGGGTGCCCACTGCCGGCACAGCCTTGAGTGCATCACCAAGGCCTGCAGGTGAGTGGGGACCCCAGCGCTGCCAACCCGGCACCCCACGAGGACCCCAGCCCTCCCAGCGGCCCCAGCCCACCCTGCATGCACCCAGCTTCACCAGTGTCCTCAGCCTGGGACCTCTCCTTCCCATCCTCTACATCCCCACCCTGGCACCCCGTGTGTAACCCAGTCCCACCCATGCCACCAGTATGTCCCACTCCACACTGGTGCTCCCAGCACTGGGGTGCCCTAGACACCAAGGTCCCCAGGACCAGGTGACACTGGCGCAAGGACCCATGGCCACTCTGTCCCRCAGGGCAGGACGCTGCTCCTCCCCATCCTATGTGTGCTGATGGCCACGGCCACCCCGGGAACGGCCTCTCCCGCAGCAGGAGCACGGAACGGCGGGCACCCCACGGACAACTGGACCCGCTGGACTCCAGAGAGGCCCCGCAGCAACACCGTGGTGGCTGCAGGTGGCCCTGAACGGGGGCAACAGCTGGATGGGCCGGTCGTCTGGACAATAAAACCTCTCTGCACCATGGCAGCTTTTATGGGGCCTCTGCTTCCTGCCGGGAGCAGCAGGGCTCGTGTTGCCCAGGCCCTGCGAGCCACCGCGCATGCCCAGCCTGGCAGGGCAGCCTGGGTCGTCTCTGCGCTGCATTCCCGGGCTTCCTCACAGAGGGATGGGGACGTCCCCAGGCTCCCCCTTGCAGCCACCCCACGGAGTGACCCTCACACTGGGGCTCTGCCGGCACAGGACTGAGAAGCAGCTCCCTGCGTGAGCTGCTCCGTGCACTGCCAGCAAGGCGCAGGACATGAGATCCCTGGACAGCAACGGGAGCAGGAAGCCAACTCCCCTGTGCCAGGGATGCCTGCTCGGGACAGTGCCAGGGGCAGGGGCAGCACTATRCATATGTGTGTGAATATGCATGTACACGTGTAGTGGATGTATGCGTGCTTGCACATGTATGTATGCATGTGTGTAAGTGTAGGTCTCTATGTGTACACATGTGTGGATGTATGTATGCACTTGTACGTGTGTGCATGCCTGTACATCCCTAAAATGCCAATGTGTGTGTGTGTGTGTGCCTGTGTGTGCTCACACACTTGTGTGTGCAAACAGGGGCCGACGTGGTGTGCTCGCATGCATGTGCTCGTGCACATGTGAGCCTGTGCATGCATGTGCATGCATGTGTGCGCCCTTGTGCACATGCATGCAGGTGCAGGTAGGCACGTGCATGCACACACAGTTCCGCACGTTCACGCGTGTACGTCTGCGCACGGGTCCCCGCGCACGTCCATGTGCACCGGCGGGCACGTCTGAGCGCGGCCGCTGCCCGCGCGCGGCCGGTGCCGGCAGGGGGCGCTGC